TATATATATATATATATATATATATATATATATATATATATATAAAGAGAACAACAGAGAGTTGGAGAGAGAGAGAAAGAAAATCAGAGAAAGAATTCAGATCGCAGAAGAGAGAAGTTACAGTACACCTTGGTGTTGCCTATCGGAATAATCCTCCTTGTGCATCTCCAAGATTTCAAGGATCGAAGACAGATTAATCTGAAAGTAGATTCTTGATTTATTCGAAAACTTCCTGGGATCACAGGACTTTTTTATTTAAATCTTCTAGTGAATTATTTTTCGTGATATTCAACAATGAAGAGAATTGCTTTAGTTCTTTTTGCTGTTCTATTTCTTGTGGTTACCGGTAGACACCACAGGTAAAAATTTTGTAGTAAATAATTCATACGTCCCCTAGAAAATATTTTCATTCAACGAAATTGCAAGCGAAATATATTTTAATTATTTTTAGAGATAATGACTACCTACAGCACGTGCAATTGGTAAACGAATTTCGTTGCTCATTGCCACAACTACGAGCAGTTCCTGTTACAGAACTTCTTACAATTGGACCTGGTCCTGATGAAATTTTCTATCCTTCATCAACGGTATTAGCACGTTGCAGTGGGTCCGGATGTTGTCCCAATTCCAAACAGATCTGTGCACCAATTGAGACTAGAAACGTCAGTTTGGTGTTTATGGTTAAACATCTTATAGATCGACAACGGGACAGGCACCATGAAGTCATTCACGCTGTTGAAGATATCGAATGCGCTTGCATTGATGAAATCAAAGTTAATACGACGTAATTATTTCTCTTAACGTATAAATGCAATGGAAATGACTGAAATTATTTATGTTTGTGTATGCGTGCTTGTGATTGTACCTCAATTAATAATGAAAATTGCTTTAAAAACATATCAATTCGTATGTATCACGTAATCACTATCCTACGTTATTGATCGTAGATTTACTACTGAAATATTATTATCGTAATTATTTATTTATTATAATAATCAATCATTTGTATTTCCAATGAATTAAAAAAACATAATTTGATTGTTTTTACTTACATATTATAATATATTATATATATTTATATTTTTATATTACTATGTATTTGCAGCTAGCTCTTCATTGTTTATTAATACATGCATGGTATATGCACCTGTGATATTTTTATCTATTAAGATCTGAATCTTATATAAAAATAATAACTTTTCGATATTACCAGTTACTTAAATTTATTATAATCCTTTTCGCGTTGCAGCAGTTTTAATTATCTTATCTAATCTTTGATATTAAAATATTGTTTAGCATTTAATAGATCACGTTTGATACTTTCATTATCCGGTGTCAATTTTATTGCCGCTTCCAATTCAGGAATGCCGTGTTGAGGCGCAGATAATTTACAAAGAGCTGCACCTCGGCGTGCGTGACACCTGGCTCTTGACTCCCGATTACTTTCGCATTTTGGTTCCATGAGTTCTAATGCCTAGCAAAATCACAAAAATATATTAAATATCAATGAAATGGAATTAAATCAAAATTTAATGAAAGAATTTTATTTAATTTATATTGAATTTTGTTTTGAATTTATATTAAAAATAAAATCGTTTCGATTCTACACGTATATTTCTTTGGCTGTCACTTGTTTTTATTACACACGTCATTAATGTAAATGTATTACAATAAGTCCTTACTTTGCTACAATCTTCGGTACATCTATAATAATTCTCAAGTGCATAATGAGCCGCAGATCTATTAACATATAATGACGCCATTTTATCGCTAATTTTTATACCAAGAGAATAAGCACTGATAGCACCTAAATAATTTCCTGCCTTGAAGAATTCGCTGTAATAAAAATTTTAAAAATTATTATGAACGAAATAAAAAACAAAAAATAAAAATATATTAAAATTGATTAAAAAACAAAAAGTCATTGTTTAACGTACTCTCCCTTATCTTTTAACCATTGCGGGTCTCTTTCCTCTGGTCTCAGATCTTCAGCTACAAAACCAGTTTTTCTTCTTGCTTCTGCTTGTTTCTCCAACCACTACAATTAAATCGTCAATAATAATGTCATACTAATTATCATTAATTTATTGAAGGTTGTCTCATAATAAATGAGAGATCATTGTAAAAAATAATAAATATGAAAAAAAAGAAGAAGTAGAAAAAAACAACGTACTTCTTGTTCTTCTATCAAATGACTTTCTCTTGCCGGAGTTGGAAATGTACGTTCGGAAAATTTAATATTAATAGTAGCATTTTTTCTTGGTAATGGTACGGCTTTATTAGGTTCGTCGAATATTTGGTTCATCCTTTGTGGTTTTCCACTTGTCAATATTCTATCGATTAATTCTTTCCTACAACTACGAATACTTTTCGTAGAAGTAAACGATGACTTACGTAAGATGTTGCCATTAATTGATTTATCATACGAGTTACGATCGGAATCCGATTCGCTATCCGTCGAAATATTTATTTCCTCGGTAATATTTAATTTATGCTTATTCGTCGTTAGATCATTTTCCTTTGCGTTACATTGGACTGATCCATCTTCTTTTCTTGGAAATTCAGATTCATGAAACGATGCTTCCTTTACTTTGGATTCATTCCAATCTAATTCCCTATCATTTCTACCTTTGCTGCAACCCTTCGTGTCATTAACGAAAATTTCTTCATCGGTCATTGGCCTGTTCTTCACCGTACCGGTAACATCATCCTTAAACCATTTTAACGGTGGCCTTCAAAAATATTTTCCGTTCAAATTATTTTATAATATATTTCACATTCTAATAAATATTTTAATTAAACGCATATACATTTTAGAGTTATAAAATAAAATAAAAATTAAATAAACATTGAACGTTTCATGCTGACGTCATAGTTTTCATTATAATTTCCACAAATAGTTTTATCGAGCATTTGATGTAAAGTATAATTATATTAGCATAAAGATTATTTATGTATAAAAATGAAAATGATAAAGCAATTTACTTGTACGCTTTACGATTTTTTTCAATTTTTCCTTGTTCATTTTTTAAAATCGGTATCTCGGTTTTAGATCTCCAATCTTCTAACGCTTCCATAGCTTCTCTTCTATAGGAATCCCTCATGGCATTTATTTTATTCAAAACTGCTGTATCTAAATCTATTTGCGCTCTCACTGCTTCCTTTTTCAAATATTGTCGCTTCTCTAGAAATAAATATTTTTTTATATAAAATATACGCATGTGTGTGTTCATATATGCATTAATTGAACGAACCGCTTTGAGCTTTCTGTCGTTCTTCTGTAACTTTTTGAATACGTTCAATCGCACAATTACGGTAATTCTTTTTAGTATTTTTATCAAGATCATCTAATTCAAGTTGAGGCCATTTTAGAGAAATATTAGCTTTTCTTAAAGAAAATATAACTTTATTATCATCCAGTGTACATGTACTTTCTTCCTCGATAATATTTGCCCAAAGAAATAGTTCTAATAAAAATGGTGGACAACTAGCCTAAAGTGATGCAAATTTAAAAAATGTTATTAATTTGTTCTTCGTAATGCACTTACTTTGAAAATAAATATTTCAATAAAATTAGATAATATTTTAATGATAGTAAAACAGATTTTAAATACATATTTAAAAATTAATACGTACCTTTAAATAATTATCGATCACCAAAAAATCGATCTTTTTAGGACGACTTTTAAATGGAACGTAAACTATAACAGAATCTGCAGTATCTCGCCATGTATAATCTTTAATAATTATAACAGGCATTTTTTTATAATTATTTCAATATAAACTCAATTAGATGATTAATCATTAAGTGAAGTATGCGTCAAATTGAATATTTTGCTTTACTTAAACTTCATTCGTTATCTTCCTTTATTTGTTTTCAATATTGTTTTAATATAATTTTCTTCAAATTTTACACATTTTAGAATTATTATTTTGTTCAAATATTCAACAAACAGTTAAAGAATAAAAATTCGAGATTATAACTGATAGTCTATATCGATCAAACAATTTTAACGTATCCTATCTATACCTATACTATGCGCAGTAAATTTTAATTAGTCGTTCATAAAATCGCGGGAAATTTAAATTTGTTATTCACATAAATATAAAGAAATCATTAAAACAATTCTAACAGTTCTCGATCTAGATTTAAATAAAAATAATAATAAAGAAATAAAGAAAATTATAATAATAAATGAATGCACACGTTATTATTTTTAATCAGTTTTAATTAAAACGTTTAAGAGAGTATTTTGTTGACAATATTGTTTGTAGACATTGTCGAAAAAGAGCTGCCACACTCATGTAACAGTCACATTATCATTTCTTCTCCCACTCGGGATTATTCGGTATACTATTTATTTTTTTCTTTCCTTTTATTTCTATTCTTAATGAACAATAATTTAAAATCAATGAAAAAATGTATGAAAAAGACAGACACATAGAGAGTTTTGTCAAAATGTGCTTATTTTGGTTCTTGCCCTAGACTAAAATGTATTTCTTTCATTTTTTTTTCTTTTTTGTTTCGGACACATATGACACTTTATGAAATTACACATTTATATTGTTCGTTGAAAATTGACTACAAAACTTATCGTAAATCAGTCAGTTTTTATCAAATGTCTGTTCTTACAGAATCGAAACTTTTATCTACAGACGAAGTGTAGGACTTTCGAGTTCTTCTTTTCTTTTTTTAATATATTTAAATGTAAATAATACATTATATATGTATGCATACGTGTTGCTTTCATTCACAATAATTCGGAAAAAATAAGTGAAACTATTATATCTTATCAAGTGTCTCGATGTATTCCCACATTTCGTTGTGATTCTAATAACAGAAACGACTGTACCATTATTATTTTCTTCTTTTTCTTTTCTTTCTTTTTTTTTTTTTGTTTTTTTATAAGAGACATCACCATGGTACATTGTAAATATATACTGTTAAAAAATTGGAGGACTCCGATAAATAGTTCGATTATCAAATTAAAAACTATAATTTTTATCATAAAGATGTGTTATGACACTATAATAATATTTTAATTGTAATAGTAATCTTACGTATGTCTTAGATTAATTTTTCAATTATAATAATAATAATAATAATAAAAATGATTAATAATTATTTAATGTATATATATACAATGCGTTTCAATAATAAGTATGTTACTAGGTTTAATTGTCTCTAATAAAAAAGAAGAAAAAACAAAAACATTCAAAAACTTGTTTTTTCTTTTTTTAGCATACGTTGGATAAAATGTTTTTTTCTCTCTTTCGGCGCTAATATACGAGGTGCGCGCAAAAAGAAAAATATACTTTTTAACTATCATAGAAATAATCTTAAAGCTAATATAAATAAGTACACGTGCACAGTGCAGCACGTATGTCTAGAATTGTAACCAAACGAGAGTTTCGTAAATCAAGTGTTGTATTAAAGATATAATTCGTAGTATATACGTGTTCTCGTTTAGTTACATTAGTCTTGCATTAACACAGAATAGTTTAATACACGATGCACATAATATTCACGCGCATATATTCAATTATATCTTCATATTTTCTCAAGCATAGAAAGCGCTTCTGTTATACTTGTAATATACCTATTTGTTGTTGTTGTGTGTTAATTAAGAAGATACATCTTTTTAACTTTTATATGGAATGTGTCTACAAGTACAGTATAAAAAATGGCATTATTTAAATAGACAAAACTAATATTGAAAATTAAATATTATAATTAGTGTGCATAATACAATTGACAAATATACTTCTTCATGTTGCGTATGTTACAAATAATTTACGTGATTTAAGTAATGATGATAATAATAATTAAAAAATTATTCATATTGTTTTATAATATCTATTCCTTAAGATTGAAAAATTTCATCTTTAGAATATATATATTCATATATATATATATATATATATATATATATATATATATATATATATATTGAAAAAATGATTATAAATATAAATCTAGTCGTAACAAATATAAGTAAAGAACATTATTTCACAATTGAATTATTTCTATACAGCAATATCTATAACGTATATTGCATTGATAATTAAAAATTCGTTGGTAATTTATAATCTACATAATAACGGACAGCCACTTGTTCCAATAATAATTATTACTAAATATTCTCTCTAATAATGTTATACTATTAATTATGGAAAAATTGATATTATACCCATTAATAATAGGTAATAAAAATAAATACACAATCAGTAAATAGAAGTCCGTCTCGTTAAAAGAGACATAATATATCTAAATGGCTTGACTTTTGTACATACATATCACTGATTTTTAACCTACGTTGGAAAATACGTTTCCAACGTAAGTTGAAATTCACATGCATATACAACATGGCATATAGACATGCTACATAACACGTACTATGTTGCATTTTCTTTTTCTTTTTTCTTGTTTTCTTTTTCAAATTATATATATATATGTATAACTATTATCATTTTCTACAAATTGTTCGTGATTTAAAACAAATAAAATTATAGATAATTATGATATGAGTATGTTATTGATAAATAAATGCAAAATACTTTTACTTTGTGGAGCATTATACACATACGCTGGAGATGATTTATTCACGAGATAAAAATCAATGTATAATATTAATATTATTTCTTAATCGACAATCATAGTTTCATTGAAAATCTTCTGGAAGATAATAATAATAATAATAATATATATATATATATATATATATATATATATGCGTTCTTCAAAAAAATTAATACATCTAGTCTCTGTGTTGAATACAATAATGCAAGAAAAATTGTATAATTACTATATATATATATCTCAACAGTATGCATACCATAGTAATTTTTTGTTCGACAATTATTATTGCAATTCTCACTTTCTTTTTCTTTATAGATTATTTCCAAGAATTATTTCTTTCGCGCCGCCTTCTCAGCCTTTCTTCGCATTCGTTCAATTTCCTTACGTTCTTTGCGTTCTCTATCCGCTTGTGCTCTCAGTTCTTTTAATTTCCGTTTAAGATGAGCCTTCTCTTCACCGTATATACCAAAAGCTTTTAATTCTCGCGACTCGAGACGTAAAAGACTTCCACCGTTGATTGCATTTTCTAAAAATCGTGGAGCGTGTCGTTCCAAGCCCATTCCAGACAACCATTGACAAACCTGACAATGATTACATTATAAATTTTTAATTAACGCATACATAAATAAATAATTAAATCTGTATAAAAGAAAATAAAAAGATTCTTACTTGCTCCTTAGACCAATCAGTAACAGGGGCATTCTGCCAAAAGTGTGATTTCTTGTCACCTAAACCAAAGTCACTTGAATGAGGTGGCAACCAAACTTCACTCGAATCTAGATTCATAATTTTATTTACTTGTGGAAACACTTGATATTTAGAAAATACGCGTAACAAATAATCATAAACCAATAATTTAATTTGTATATTAATAAATATATCATTATCACTAATCCATACCTGCGCTACCTGTTTTAGATGGGCTTGGATCAACTGCGGGTGGACTAACAGATCCTCCAGATGATAAACTTGAAGGTGAACTACCAGGATGATGCCAAGGCGCCCCGCTACTACTAATTAAGTTTGCTGAAGGTATCGTAACTTTTTTTACTATAAAAATAATACAGTAATTTTTTTTAATAGATATTTATACACATAAATATTTAATTCATTAATTATATATATATATATACCTCTTTGATTAGCTTCGTTTACAGCTTGTCGTATTTCTTCTACAAGATGATGAGTTACCAGAGTAGGATCATTATTATGTGGATTATTTAAATCGCTAAAATCTCCAGAACTTTCTCTAGAAGATGACAAATCGTTTCCGCCAAGACGCCTTTCTCTTTCAGCTAAGACTTGTTTTAATTGTTCTGCTAATGATGCAGGTGGCCCAGTTAAACCTATTTTGCACAAAGTACACCATGCTCTTAAAAACTGTTACTTATGCATTATTAACTATTACATAGATGTGATATCATAGAACAAAACACACATACTCTTTTGAGTTTGTGGCCAACTTTGCTCAGTCATTGCCCTAACTTGTGAACTGATTGTACTATGTTGTCGGATAGCAGTTGTATGAGTAGTTTCAATGTGTTGTTTGCCTTTTAATGAGCTGATCGATGAACTGCTTGAATAGGAACTTAAATTTGATTGTTTGGATGTAAGATCATTCGGTGATCTGCTACTTGTGTCCTGAGAAATGTGCTTTGAAGAGGAATCTTCATCAGTATTATCGCCAGATTCATCTAATCCATAATCCTGTAAATTACAAACTAATATTAGTAATATTTTAAAAATTATAACAATAACATAATCATATATACGTACCGAACTACTGTTACTAAGGCCTCCTGATCTTTTAGGAAGTTGACGATTAGCAAGACCTCCTCTACTTGCTAGTTCAGCTTTACTTTTACCAGCTGAATTATCAAGAAGTCGGTGTGCTGGTACTGCACGATCTAACTCTTCCTTTACAGGAAGTGGAAGTGGTAGTTTTCGTTCAACAGTCGCAGTCTTGTCTCCATCATCCGGACTGCTTAAATCTGATGTCTCAGTATCAGAGAGTTGGCAACTAGTTGAAGAAGGTGGTGGTGGCAGTTGGCGTCGTGATAATTGTGGTGTTACTATTCTCGCTGTTGTACCATCGTAAGGAAGCCGAACAGGCAATCCAAATCTTCTTTGTGTTTCTGTTAATTCTACTTCTAATGTAATAACCTGTGAAATGTGTAACATTGTATTCTATACTCTTTATTTATTATGATAAAATAATGTATGCATACCCTATCCTTTAAACTTTTAACCAGTGCATTATATTCTGTATCTTTCTCTTGTAATAACTGTTGATAAAATTCATCTCTCGCTGCAATATCTGTACGAAGTTCTCGGGCTGCTCTTTTAGCGCGTGCATATTTTTGTTGCAATGCTGCATTCTGCGATGTTGCCTGAGTTAACATTTCACGAGCTGTACTCAAATCTTGACGGGCAGTACTCAATGCTCTTTCGGATTCATGAA